TCCTGATTGCAACCTTGAATCCCACATGGAAACTGTTTCGGTCTAAGAGTACATGTGTTTACCCTCTTTCTTGTTTTGATGCTGTGAAAAACCATTTGGCTAATGCTATGAGAGGAGAATAGTTACGTCACGAGAAAATTATGCTACCTAGTAATTCTACGGTAATTAAATCTATAGCAGAATGATATCCTACGAAAAAATGCTAATATAACTGCGAGTCAGTGTGAGCCAATCACATAACAGCTTTGGTTCACTTAAACAAATTCACACCCGATCCCGTGAGAATAGAGTATTTAGACCGAACGATTGTAAAACTATCCAAAGAATTGATTGTTATAACATAATCATCAATCAGTAGGCTATTCTGATGCTTCTCTTTCACAAAACCTTTCGTAAAATCAGAACACTAGCATTTTTTCCTCTCAGAATTAAAAAAATAATTCCAGAATCACAATATTGAATCCACAAGTTTAGATCTGTTCCCGTCATCCCTCAATGCTTATATTGTTGATCAATTGCTTTTCCTAGTCTCCAACAAAGGCATTTTATACTCCTCAGAACATCAATCTGAACGCAGTGCAAATGCAAGACTAACCCTTGAAGATAAGATTGTTCCTGTCGGAGAAACTATACACAGATATGCATGCATCCATAAATTGATGTATATATATTCATATACATAAATATAAATATATATACTTATATATACGTAAATATATATTATGTTATATTTATATTTTATTTATAGCGATTTATAGGAGCAGGTAGCTGGGTGACTTGTGAAACAACTTTCACATCCTTTGCATGGAGAATAGTACAGTGCCGTGCCCGTGTCCGCCAACAGATAGACTTCAAGTAATAATGATAATAATATTAGGTGTATATTTCACGAACCCCGTGAGACATGCACAAAGCATGATCAAATGTTCAGAGCGAGTATATGTTCAATAACAGTGTCAGTGCATCGGTAGACAATAAAAATGTTGGGGATCGGAACGAAAACACAGTGTGAAAGGAACGCAAACCGGATAAGGTCGCCGACGAATTTATGAAAGATGGAGGATGCATTGAAAATGCGTCACCAGAACTGAAATTAATAGTAAAGCTGGTCCCGGAAGGATTGGACGTACGACAACAGTGCGGGGAAATACGGAGAGGAGGTCTGTGGATGAAATGCTGCCCGATGGTGGAGGCATGAGGACAGGAATAGAAAGGAAGGAATACAGCCAGAATAATACGTCGGTAAAGGAACATGTTTCACTCTATGCTGCAATACAACTCGCTTCTGGAGACAAGTTCATTGGGTTCGGGGCTTTAATCGATCAAGGAGTGATTTGGATTATTTAGATTGATTAGGCGTTGGTCGCTTTGATGTGGGACTGATGACACGCTAGACACCTAACCTTAAAACAACATGTAGATGAGGCAGGGGTTGTGATTCTCAACCTGGTCGGGAACGCGGACGCATGTAGTGAAAACGGTGGAAACAGCCGTGCCCAACAACCATTGCCGGAGCCAAATTGTTCATTGTGGGTGAGAACTCCAAGCCTCCGGCAGGCCCAACACAACCAAATCTGGAGCAAAGAGGCGATATGCAGCAGTCTGGGGTAGTATCCAGCTGAAAAGGGATGGGAGAGAGGGAAACGGAGCATGCGACGGAACAATACTAAAAATCAGTGCACATCTAGCACGTTGTACTGAAATGATACGGAACAGGAAAGAGTATAGACGTAAGACCATATTGAGGAGTTTTAGCGCGGTAAGACAACAAAATGCTTCTGAAAGTGCGTACCAGAGTTTTGAATTCCACAGATCCAGCTTTGAAACTGATTCCGTGCAATGTTAAGAATTGGTTGACAAAGTGGACACAGCAATTTGGTTAGCATATGCCACGGAGGAAGACCGAGTGAGTTCAGTGAGAATGATTCAAGAAACATGTTGCTTGCTGGATGTAAAGTCACAATACTTGTAAAAGTATGAACCACACTGAATGGTGTTCCAAGAACCGAGCGTTGAGGCCGAATCCACGTACAGGTAATAATGGGATGAGAAAGTGAAAACCGCTACCAAGTTAATATGTGCGACGGAAGAGAGCCGAGAGAATTGAGTGAAAAGGAATCGAGGAATATTTTGCTTACTAGATATTAGGTCAAAACGCTTGTAAAAGTGTGTACCAGACTGAATTGTGTTCCACAGATCCAGGTTTGAAGTCTCACATTCCCATTCTCCCACACTTATTATGTCTGATTGTCGACCATAACAAATGACCAACCAACTTCATGCACGTTTACTTGCTCAACTTATTACACATTACATTTTTTTTCTTTGTGTCACTTAAATCCTATTCAGAATGTCCGCAGTAATGGCCATGTAAAAAGCTGGAACCTTAACGAACATGGGTGCGTATGTTATGTACTCATATGGAAACCCTCATTCACCATGTAAAGCTTCGATGCACATCGAATACTGACAATTCAATCAACCTAAACAAACTACTGCTAATTCTTATCAAATAGAGGAGAGAGAAAACAAATAACTAAGTCGTCATTGCGTGATGGTGCTGGTACACGATGCTCGGGAAATAACTATCAAATTGAGTTCACATTGTGAACTTGGTAAAGCAGCAGATTTGGCGCAATGAACAAATTAAACTATGGCTACTAATGAAGTGATGGAAGATTAAATGAGATTATTGGACGAATTTGATCGCGTGTGAACAAATTTATCATACACGGATTCTTGTAGAACGGGATGGGGCTTGCGGTCCCGACTGAGACAATCGCTCATGGGGTCGAGTGTCAGCATCCTCCGTTGTGTCAAGGTGACACTCACAAGTTCCATCCATACCCGCAATCACCTATACATTGCATTTTGGCTGCTCATGCACAATGGGCACTAAATCTCGGACATGAACCCTGTGCAAGCTAGTGGCGACGCCGAAAATCCGCCGCCCCGAGATAGCCGTGATCTATGGTCGTCCCAAACAACAAGAACAGTTTTGAACGTAACACCAACCTCCTCACGAACCAGATCATGGTTCTCGCACTTGAGAACTGCCGCTGACCATACGCAAGCTCCCGTCTCGACGAACAAGCCGATTACCGTTTACCGAACCCACAATACCCCCTCATCGAAATGGCAACGGTGGATTGCGCACATTATAACCACCGTGCGGATGGCACGAACGATGAACCTTATCACCCGGACATCGTTTTCCACGCCAGGCAAATCCCAGTCACCGCGATTCCGACTCGCTCGTTAATATAACCGCGCGAGAGCTTCTCCCTTACGATCGTTCAGACAAGGAAGACCACGAACCAACGGGTAGCGGACACCGGTGATCATGTTGACCGAACGACTCAAGCCGTGCCACCGTTACCGAAAGGCGACAAGCATCAAGTCCCACTGTCACCTAAATCACCACCTAACTGGCCTCATAACGGACCAACAAATATTCCACTATGCAACGCCCCAGAGCCAAGACCGCCGATTACAACGGCCGCCATTCAGCTCAATCGTACTCATACACCAAACAATGCCAGCAGAGGGAACGCACAACTTGAGTCGCAACGATCGGTCAACAAGTAAGCTAACCACGACCGACCGCGGAAGAGACAGCCAATCTAGGGGAAAAAACGAACACCCGAAACCAGGGCCCCGACGAGAGACAATCAAGACCGGTAGACGAACACGAAAACGATCATTTCGGGCGCAACCAACACGTGCTGCGCAGACGGCACTCGACAAGCGGGAGACAGATGAACCAACGGATAACAAACTAGTTCACAACACAGGAAAACTGAGCACGAAACAGTCCTACGAACGCAATACCCAGATAACCCAATCGACGGAGAAATCAAATGGGGAACAGAACAGAAAGTGTGGGTAAACCAAACTGTTGTGGTCCTAAAGAGGACCGTGATGCGTTCTCGTGCGGACCAAAGAAAGTCACGCAAATTAGCCGCCGAAACCGTACAAAGTACGGCCCTGACGTTTGAGGGCGTAGACAACGTCCATGGCAGTGACGGTCTTTCGCTTGGCGTGCTCGGTGTATGTGACGGCGTCACGGATCACGTTCTCCAAGAACACCTTCAACACACCACGAGTCTCCTCGTAGATCAATCCGGAGATGCGCTTCACACCACCACGGCGGGCCAGACGACGGATAGCCGGCTTGGTGATGCCTTGGATGTTGTCGCGCAGCACCTTACGATGGCGCTTTGCTCCTCCTTTGCCGAGACCTTTACCTCCTTTACCGCGACCAGACATGACTCAGATGATTTTCCCGCAACGAGACGGCCTGCACTAGTTCACACACAGTCCATATCGCAAACAATTGGCAAAATTAAAGTCCGATAACAGCCAATCACATAACAGCTTTGGTTCACTTAAACAAATTCACACCCGATCCCGTGAGAATAGAGTATTTAGACCGAACGATTGTAAAACTATCCAAAGAATTGATTGTTATAACATAATCATCAATCAGTAGGCTA